CAAATTAAACCCTTTTTAGACAATTGTAGTAAACGTAAGTAGGGATCGTTCTAGGTCGGGGATTAGAAGGGATGCTAATCAACACAAATTAGAATTAAAAACACAAAACTAGAATCTAATGACTCAAAACTGACCACACTGACTCAAAACAGCGCAAAACAAACAAATTGACTCAAAACAGGAACTAAAGGGTGATTTGGACTAATTCTATACTTAACTTGACTTAAAATACTATCGGGGGGGTTTGGTTTGGAAGAAATTTAAAACTAAAACTAAGTAACTTGCAAAAAACAAACTAATTGATACTAAATTGGGGTGAATGAAGGGGGTGAAAGGCTAGCTAGAGGGTCCTTCTCCACACATGACACATATGCAACACAAATCGATTTCCAATTACTATTCCCATAAACCATGAATGACAATGCCCCAAGTTAACCATGAACTGCACAAATTAAGCATCAAATTTTCCTAAATTCATTGAATTGGACTCATCGACGCAATCAAATTATTCTTATCAAGTTCCTTATATGAACTGCATGATAGAGATACATATCAAAGATCATTAAGTTCTATGAAAATCATAAGCATTGACATGGCATTCGTAACTATGAAAAGCATGATACTCTTGTCAGGAATTTACTTAACACAATCATGACTAATGATTTTCACTACTTATAAATATAAGTTCATAACTATTAGGTGAAATTCCCTTATATTTTAGCATCAAATTCATGCATGCAAACTAAGTAGGCCTCCTTAATCAACATACAAGAATAAGTTATCAATCAAACAGATAAGTAAATTGCATTCACGATTTATGAAACAATAACTGGATATAATCAATTCATATCACACATATGTTTATGGCTTTGAATTCATCTCTAGTTAAAACGAAATTAGTTCCACATGCCCGTCATAACTAAAAATCAAATTAAAACAAACATTGAACTAAAAATTAAAGACAGAATACACCTAGAAATGCTCCAGCAATCCAAAGCCTTGGATGACAGGCACAGCTCCAAGCTCTCCTTCCTTGCAAACTGCAGCACTATGTGTTTATTCCTTTATATTTTTGTCTTTAAAAACTCTCTCTCCCTCTTTGCGGCAAGGGTGTGCATTTATAGGGCAGATACACAGCATTGTTTGTGGAGGAAAAGGATTAGTTCTTAGCATTGCTTTAGGACTCCTAGAAATCAAATAAGAGGTGGTTTTAATATGATAGGGAATCCCTCTTTGCAGCTGGAGATAAGGTAAGGTAGGATTATGATATGATAAGATAAGATAAGATTAGTTTGGATAAGGTTGGATAAAGATGAGATAAACTAGATAAGATAGGATAAGGTTGGATAAAGTCTCCTTGTTTTCAGCTGATTCCTTGTCTTCCAAGCCTTAATTTAATTCTTCCAGATTTGTAGCACATTTTTATCATCATTTGTCACCAAAAACGTCCATTCATTATGCTCCATACAAATGATATAAAATCCAAGTCCAAAACTGCTCCAAATTGCTCCTTTTGGCCATTTATTGACATCTTCACCAATTGAACTTACAATAATATGAAAATAAACTAAATCACTATAATAAATGGAAATTAACTAAGAAAATGCAAAGAAATAAGATAACAAATCGCATAAATATGCTCTTATCACTCTTGGATATTTCTTGAACTATTGTTGCTTATTTCTTGACAGTTATCTCACTTTTGGTGTTATCTCTGAGATTAAAATTTGAGAAGTTAGCTATTAATTTGTTTTTGTTGCGTCTTTATGTTTTCTTTTGTTTTACTCAAGGACAAGCAAAATTTAAGTTTCGGAGTATTTGACATGATCACATTTATATATATATATATATATATATATTTTTTTTTTTTTTTTTTTTTTATTTTGTATATATGAATGAATTAAATGCGTTAAATTATATTGTTTTATTTTACACATGTCCAGTAGAGTTTGCATGCACTGGTAATATGGGAAACCGGAAACCCTAATTCCAAAGCGCAAGAAGGGGGTCACCATCTCGCTTTTAGTTTTATACTAAGCATTCGATTAATTTTGACCACTTGAAAAGCTATGATGAACTTTTGGCTCCTTCTGTTTCTGCAGAAGGCACTCATCTGGTGCTGTTAGCGTCTGCTGAAAAAGGAAGCAAGTGGTCCAACTTGGTGGGATTTATAATAATAATAAGTGGGGGCTGAAATTAAAAAAAATAAATAAATAACATAATGTGATAATGTCTGTATGAAGAGATTTTTTAATGTGATTATTATACGAGGGGGTACATCATGTATCTTTATATAAATGATTAGTTATGTGTGTTAAAAAGTTAATAACTTAAATATTAAAATTTTCCACCACTTACATAAAAACACATGATGTACTACTGTGTTCCCATCACAATTAAAAAAATTTCTTCTGTATGGTCAAAGTGATGTAAAAACGTGATTCTCTGATTTTATTCATTTTTAAGTTAAGATCCATGTGAATGTAAATAGAGAATTTACCCAACAAAAATGGTTATTAGATACGACTTTTTTCGTTTTAACGTCGGCATTTTATTTAATCTTTTAATTTTGTATTTATTCATTTAACTCCACTTTATTCTTATTGGAAGACCTGTTAAGTGAATATAATTGACAATGAAAGTTCTATGTGTGACAGTATAGTAAAAAAAAGCTAGCTAGATTATCATAGAAAATAATAGGACTTTTAGATGTTATCATCATACGATATAAAGATTCCACTTACATCAGTTTTAATATTGGCTTAACTTTATCCATGACACTTGTAATTTTCATACAATCTCATTTTACCTCTAAAACTTTTTTTTGTTTCACTTTACCAAACTTACTCTTCATTTATGTCTAACACTACCTTATTCTGTCATAAAAATTGTTAATTTGCTGATGTGGCACGACTATTTTGATAACTTGAGCCATTAGAAAAATCTAAATTCAATTTCTGGTAGTGTTATACGTAATTGGGTTACTTTCCATATTACTAATTGGTCATATGGAGAAACCTCAATTTTCTTCATGCTATTATAGCAAGTTGTCCCTCGTGTGATGCCCAAAGGCCACATGTGCTTCACGTTACCCAGCTTGTATTGCCCACATGTTTAGCTTGAAAGTTCATCATATGTGAGCAATGGCGAAGCTACATGAGGACGAGGAGTGGCAGCCCCTCTCCTTATCGAAAAACACAGCAGGAGTGGAGGTTCTACCCATCCCCTCACAGGAAAACCCAGCCCCTCCATGTCTGTTCTGGCTCCGATGAACTGGTTTTGCTTTGTGCAGCATCAGATTGGGTTCTTTTTTTCTTTTTCTTTTTTTTTTCTTTAAATCCAGGCCAAAACGACGTCGTTTTGGTCCTGGTTAAAAAAAAATTAAAAAATTAAAAGTCAAATGGCGTCGTTTTGATGTTTGAAAACAAAAAATATATACGTATTGGGGGTACCGCTTGTCCCCTGTTCCTTCACTCAGGCCCGTGTGTCGTGCCTTTACCATTCCAATCTCTCCCTTCGCCAATCAGAGACGAAGAGAGAGCAAAGCTGCTCCCAAAATCCTAGCAGCCTACAGCCAATGCCCAACCCCAATGGAACGGAAAATAATTCCCCATTGGCTGATTTTCGTTGGCTTTTTGCTGCTAACACCAGGCATTCCAGCCTCCAGGCTCCACTCCAGCTGCTGAGCCAGCTTCTAGCCTTCAAAGGTAAACTTTTTAATTCCTAAATTTATAATCCCTAACCCTACTTAATTATTTAATACGAATTTCATTTAATTAGTATAGAATCATATGGTAATGCACTAATATGGTTATTGATTATTGATATGATTCTATGGTTATTGATATGAAATTATTAATTTGGATGAAAATTAAAATTTGAATTCTTGATTAGTTGTATTCATATGATTAGTTGAATTGAATTTTTTATTTCTTGAATGATTTATATGCTTATTGGTATTGATTAATTGAATTGTTGGTTGGGTTATTTATTATGCATATTAGCATAGTCTATTCTAGGATTAAGAGTCCAAGAATTTTTTTTCTTTCCATTTTACAATTACGTAATGGAAGGATACTATAAGAAACAATGCTTAAATCCTCCTTTAAACATTTCGGGTAGTCCTTCTCCTTCAAATATTCCAAGTAGTCCTCCTCCTTCGAATATTTCGAGTAGTTCACAACAAAGTGAGCCCACTGAATTGAATGAAATATTGGCTAATCTTCCTGTAAACCTTGGATATAAACGTCGAATGCTTGATTATCCACCTAATTATCATGAAGCAGTTCATAGACACTATCTCCAAAATGATCTTTGTCAACCTAGAGACCACATTATGCCAATAAAAGTTAGCAACAAAAGATGTTTTATCACCGGTTGGTTTGATAGGTTTAAGTGGTTGGAGTATAGTATATCAAAAGATGCTGCATTTTGCCGTTATTGCTATCTTTTCAAATGTGATTTTGATCAAATGGATAGCACTAGAAGTGATGTCTTCAATGAGAAAGGGTTTACAAATTAGAGGAAAGGACCCAAAAATCTTCGAGTCCACGAGAGAGGTATTGGAAGTCTTCATAATAAAGCTGTACAATAAGCTAGAGATTTGATGACAGAAAAAAAACACATTGAAACATTTGTGATTAAGCAAACCGATAAAACTTGCATTAATTATTATACTTTATTGAGTGCCTCACTTGAGTGCACAAGATGGTTGTTGGGACAAAGTTTGCCTTTTTGTGGTCATGATGAATCGTTGAAATCAAGTAATAGAGGTAATTATTTGGAGCTTATGCAATTTCTTTCCAAGCATAATAAGCAAGTTAGGAAGGTTGTGTTTGAGAATGCTCCCAAGAATCTTAAGTATACTTCTTCCGATATTCAAAAAAATCATGTTCGTGCTTGTGCCATTGAAACTATAAATGCAATCACTAAAGATATGGAAGGTGAATTTTTTTTCTCTTTTGGTTGATGGATCACGCGATTCTTCAATTAAAGAGCAAATGGCGATGGTATTGCGTTATGTAAACAAAGAAGAAGAAGCAATTGAAAAGTTTTTGTGTGTTCAACATGTCTCCTCTACAACTAGTAGCTCGCTTGAAGAGGCTATTGAGAGATTCTTTGCTACAACAAATTTGAGTATGTCCAAGGTACGGGGACAAGGCTATGATGGAGCTAGTAATATGAAAGGTGAGCTAAATGGCCTTAAAACAAAGATTTTGAACAAGTATCCTCAAGCATTTTATGTTCATTGTTTTGCACACCAACTTCAACTAGCTTTTGTAGCCGTTCAAAAGGAATTGAGGGTGTTGCCATTTTCTTCAACAATGCTAGTATTTTGGTCAGTAATATTAGATCATCGTATAAATTTCGTGATGCATTTAGAGAGAAACAACTAGAACAAATTAAGAAAGTTCTTGATATTGGTGATTTTGAAATGGGTAGAGGGTTAAATTAAGAGAGTAGTCTCATGCGTCCTTGTGATACACGTTGGAACTCACATTATGGTACTATAGTTAGTATTATTCTCATGTTTGAAGCCGTGGTGGAGGTGCTTGAATGGATTAAAGATGATAACAACCAAGACAATTTTGATGAAACAAGTAAGTTATTCCATAACATACAAACTTTTGATTTTGTGTTTCACTTTTTTTTTATGAGACTCATATTGGGAGTTACAAATGAGTTATCACAAGCATTACAAAAGAAAAATCAAGATATTGTGAATGCAATGGCGTTAGTGGAAGTATGCAAGCAAAGACTACAATCCTTGAGAAATGATGACTTTGGGGACTTGCTTGATGATGTACAAAAGTTTTGTCAAGAACATGATATTGTTGTTCCTAACATGGAGGATTTGCATTTCGTACCCGGAAAATCAAGGCATAAAGCTCCAAGACTCACAAACTTCCATTACTATCATGTGAACCTTTATGTTCAAGTTCTTGATACGCAATTAAAGGAATTGAATGATCGCTTCAATGAGGTAAACACCGAGTTGTTTCTTTGTATGACATGTTTGAGTCCGGTGAATAATTTTGCATCTTTTGACAAAGCAAAAATTGTTCGTCTAGCTCAACTTTATCCTCAAGATTTTGATCGTATGGACCTCATAAATCTTCCAATTCAACTTGACAATTACATTCACGATATGAAGATGCATAGTGAGTTTTCATCATTGAGAGGAATTGGTGATCTTGCAAAGGAGTTGGTGAAGACCGGGAGCTGTGCAAGCTATATATTAGTGTATAAGCTTCTTACATTGGCTTTGGTGTTATCGGTTGCAATCGTTTCGGTGGAGAGAGCTTTTTCTGCTATGAATATTGTGAAAACACCATTGCGTAACAAAATGGGAGATCGATGGTTGAGTGATAGCATGCTTGCTTACATTGAGAGAGATGTATTTGCTTTTATTGAGCCTATTATGCGACTTTTTCATAATATGAAACATTGTCGGTAATAATTGTAATTTGTTTGTATTGATAAATTATGGAAGACATTACTATATAAAATAATTTGGTTGTTGCTATTCTTTTGAACGTTGCACTCTTTTAACTTCGCCTCTTCCCCCGTCAATTCCTGGCTTTGCCACTGTATGTGAGATGTTGTGTTGAGTGTATGAATCTCATTTCATGGAAACAAAAGACCTTACATTGGCTTATGAACTATTCGCCAAATTACCAATTAATTTTACAGTAAAACTCCAAACTTTTTCACTATCCCTACTCTCCATTGTGGCTTGTGAAATCAAACAAGGAGTTTAATATTAATAGAAGATGTCAAAAACATGGAGCCATATGATACAAAAAAGGGATCCTAATTAGCATTTGTGAGTAACCCCATTCCCGTATGCGTGCGCACTCGTATTTCATCACACATGTAGCCAATACCTACGACAAAATTAAGATTCCAAACCAAGAATTAGAATAATATTAATGAATTCATTTCAAATGAACACAAATTAATTAAAAAATTAAAGGGAAAATTTGAAATAGGTCTAGTTTTATAGACCACCTTTTAAAATAAGTCCAATTTTAATGACTTTTGATTTTTGAAATAGGTCTAATTTTTAATTATTTTGGACCCATATCAAAAAACTCTTTAATTAAAACTTTTCGCAGCAAGCCCGATTGGACATATTCATTGGCCTGTAAATTGGAAATTCTACATGACAGCAGCAGTTGAGCCCTAGCAGCTGCACTCATCACGTTCGTCGTATTTGGTAGCAGAAAACGTCACACTAGTAATCACGTTCGTCTTTGGCACACGGCATCGGTTATTTACTTCATCTTTTTCAACGATATGGGCATGAAAATTTCACGTAATCGAATAAAAATCATGCAACTGCGTCACTACAACCCACATCATTTAGGGAAGTGAATCCTGTAAGTCTTATATGTATATTCTCATCTCTACCTAACATGAGACCTTTTGAGAGCTCACTGGCTTCGGATTCCATCAGAACTCCGAAGTTAAGCGAGTTCGGGCGAGAACATTCCCAGGATGTGTGATCTATTAGGAAGTTCTCGTGTGAGTTCCCAAAAATAAAACCGTGAGGGCGTGGTCGGAGCCTATGCTTGGGCCGAGATGTGATGAGGGCTTGGGCCGAGATGTGACATCTGATGCTATCTAAGGTAGTATATAAATGTAATATAAAAACATGGTATGAATATCATTACTCCTGCAAAAGCGGTATTTTGTCTCTTATAAAATACAACAATCTGAAACGTTTTCATAAGTAAGAATTAGATTTAAGAGAAGTAAATATAATTGTAAGGGAAATGACGAATATAGGATGTATGATGTACGACAAAGCAAATGATAGGACTAGCAATCCTGGGTTTACTTTTTAGCCAAATTGGCTTCAGTGTGCTCCATCTTCTGTTGATAGTTTAAATGAACTTCAGATAATTATATATTACGAATATTACAAGCAAGTGAAATGCTAAGGAGTATTTCTAATGGAAATGTCAAAAAGAAAAATATCAAATTTCTCCTTTTTAACTTATATGTTTTTTTATTCAATTAATATTCAAAACTAATTTTCATTATTTATAATTAGTGCATTATTTATTATTATTATTATTTTTTAATTTTAATTTTGCAAATGATAATGAGTGGGTCTAAACCTCACAATTGACGAGCCATAATAATGCGATTTAAATTCATCTTTGGCAAGAATCGAATGAAGACATCTCATGTAGAAGTGAAGAAAAATATCACTACACCGTAATACTAAGTTCTTTCTATTTATCTTAAATTTTATTACGTGGCTTTTCACTTAAGAAATGAGATGCTTTAAGAGACTCTACATCACGATGATGATGATGATTATGATGAGATCTGATGATGATGATTATGATAATAAGGGTTAACTATATTTTATATCCTTCAAATTTGGGGTGATCTTTAAAATTGACCACAAATTTCAATTTTCTCATTTTGCATCCAAGGTATTGTAATCTTGTCAATTTGTGCCTTTAATCTCATTAATTGTAAGACAATTAATTAAATTGATAACATTGTGATCTTGAGACCCTTAGACCATCTCCAAAGAAGATGTCAAATATAATTTGTTAAAATTTCATGTGATGACTGATCTGGTCAATTAAATATAGATGTTAAAAAATTTATTTTCCAATAGATGTGTCAAATATTTATTTGATTAATATATGGGCTCCATAGTTACATTAACTATTAAAAAATAATTGAAATTGATTTTAGTTTTCATCCTATTGTCAATGGGACCTATGCTTTAAAAATATAAATTAAGGCATTTGACTCTATCTTTGTTTGTTGTATAAAAAGACAGCTAGAAAGTAAGAAGTCAAATTGCTCAGCTGCCACGTCAGTTATGGCATATCCCTTAGAGAAAATCTTGGTGATTTTTAGTCCTAGTTATCGTATTGGACATCTCCTTTGGAACGGGGCGTGGCGCTCATCGGTGGAGAGAGACATGAGAATGCTCGAGAGTGCCAAAATTTTATTTTATGGATACAAATGTTATATCTTCTTCTTTTTAAATAGATATGTCAAATATTGATTTTATTGTTGTATTGGCCCATAGTTACATTAAATATTAAAAAAACATTAAATCTAATTTTTATTGTATTAGTTTCCAATGGGACCAATGCATTAAAAAAATTAAATTAAATTAAATATATTTGACTCCCTTTCACTTGTAAGTGAGAGGTCTTAGATTTGATTCTCGCCAAAGACGAATTTGAACCACATTATTGCTAACTCATTGTGAGGATAAGCCAACCCCCTCTCCTTATTATATATAATATCGTTTGTTCGAAAAAAAATAAAAAACGACTCAGCTGCCACATCATATATGACATTCAGTGGAGAGCACTTGAATGTCTTTTAGTACCTGAATGTCTTTTAGTCCTATTTGACATATTTGATATCTCCTTCGGAGATAATCTAATGTATAACTCTCATTTTCACCAACTTGACAAAACAAAAATCGTCAATTTAATAGAGATTTAGATTCAAAGAAACAAAAAGTGTAAATTGATTAATTTCAAAATCCTAGCCGCAATGTGAGAAAATTGAATTTCGTAACGTATTTTCAAAACCATCTTAAACTTAAAGGATGTTGTCAACCCTAAATAACCCTAATTTTTTTACCCAAAAAAAAAAAAAAAACCTAATAATAACAACAACAACAAACAACAATAAATTAGTCATTTAGTACTACAGTCTTGTGGTATTCCTCTTTATTGTAAGTGAGAGGTCTTAGGTTCGATTTTCACCAAAGACGAATTTGAACCACATTATTACTAGCACATTGTGAGGCTAAGCCCACTGCCTCTCTTCTTTTAGTGTATATAATATCGTTTGTTAAAAAAAAAAACAACAACAATAAATTAGATGTGTTATAATAACAATAACAAGTGATACGTGGCATATGTTTCATGAATTTTTTTTTAAATTTTCATTAACTTAAAAAATAAAAATAAAGAATAGAAAACAAAATTAAAATGGGCCACAAAGTACCTACATGAAAAGAAAAAAAAATCATATTTTAACGCTATTCACATGTTATTTTTTTCTTTTTCATACTTCTTTTTTTAAATTATATAATTTATTCTTTAAATTTATTCGATCAAACAGTTAAAAATAAAAAATAAATATGTGAAAAATAAAAAGTAATTTGTGAATATCACAAAAAATATTTGAAGGTTGAAGGTCGTACACGGTAACGCCAATCGACGCCTAAACCATCAATACCTCTCACTTTCTTTTTGTTATTACCAGATTACCCCTACTCGGGAAAGGCCCTTTTTGCGCGAAATATGGAATCACAGTCCGGGTAAATTCCAAAATATTGTCTCCACGTGGCAAAATCCTGGAGCGAGTACACATCCAGCTACCCCCGCGGGTACAGGAACCTTTCATCTTCTTCACCTGTTGGTTGGCCTGGCTGTCTATATATACGCAGCAACCAGGACGGTGGGAATCAAATCTCTCTCTCCAGAATTCACCTTTCCATTCCCACCAATTTCTCACCAAAGCCCCCTAAATTTCTGTTTGCACCCAAATCCGTAGCCAAAAATCCCGACTTTCACACCCCAATATCTCCAGAGCCGGCGACTCTGGTGCGCGGTTGCGCTCGATCTCTCGCCGAAAATCGGAAGCCGATCTCTGATCGCGGCTGTTTGAGAAATCGTTAGGTAACAAGAAAGTCGCATGAGCTGGTTGGGAAAGCTGGGTTTTACAAAGAGGACATTGAATTCCAATTCGAATCACTTCTTTACGTGTCTTTTGATCTTCATTCTCCATTACTCCCCTCAATTGCCTCTTACCCTTCTTAAATTCGAGAGGAAGGCCCTCGATCCCTTATTATTATTACTACCCAATTTTAATTTTAATTTAAATCCCAATTTAAATTATAATTTTAATTCCAATACGAATTTGGATTTGAATCACCATGGCGTCTGGAAGCAAGAGTAATCCCCAATTGCGCAGAGGTCCGTTTGCAAATCCCTTTTTAATTTTCTTTTGGGGTTTGAAAGTTCGTTTCTTTTAACGTTTTTACTGCTTTTCGTAATTATGGATTATTTGTAAAATTATGAATGTAAGGATAATTTGTTTGGTAATATTTTGAAAATGCAGCTCTTTGCTCAAATGGTGAGAAGAGGCAGCCATCGAGTGCGACGGCGCCGTCCCCATCTGTAATAGTGATAGGTGGCGGTATGGCGGGCATTTCAGCTGCTCGGGCTCTTCATGATGCATCAATTCAGGTACCCAGATGGAAATTCCAGATCAGGATTTGGCACATTGAAATTTGCAGCTATGGGTTTTTTTTAAAAATTTTGAATTTTGATTCAGGTTGTGCTGTTGGAGTCTCGAGACAGGGTGGGTGGTCGAGTTTGCACCGATTACTCGTTTGGTTTCCCTATTGACTTGGGTGCATCATGGTAATCCAACATTGTGTGATTTGCTTGCTTTGATTTGGAACTCGAATTGCTTGTATTTGGAATTCAGGTTGCTTGAATTTAGAATTCGAAGCCTAAATCTTGTTTTTGTGACGCTTCAGGTTGCATGGAGTATGCAAAGAGAATCCATTGGCACCATTAATTGGGAGGCTGGGGTTACCCTTATACCGTACGAGTGAGGATAACTCTGTCTTATATGACCATGACTTGGAAAGGTACTTAATATCTTCCTTTAACTGAAATGAGTGGTTGTATTGAAATGATTTGAATTTTAAATGTTCAGTTTTGGGTTGTCGGTGAGCATTGCTTTAGTTTTACCGTGCTTGGTTCTTTGTTTTTGGATCTGAACAGTTATGTCGATTCATACTCCAAAAAAATGTGTTATTGTCCTACATTTGTATGCCATCGATGATTTAAAGTATTACCAACAGTCAACAATGTAATTTATATGGTTAATACATTCAAGTGTGTTTAAATATTTGTGATGGTAACATGTTGCTTTCGCCTTTATGTGAAGTTGATTTTTTCCCCCCCAGCCTTCATGTGTAGGGGGATGTCTGACATTAGGGATATATTCATGTGTTCTTTGCAGCTATGCACTCTTTGATATGGATGGGAATCAAGTTCCTCAAGATTTGGTAACGAAAGTTGGTGAAGCATTTGAGAAAATTTTGAAAGAGGTAAGTCATCTGATGTATAGTTATTGTTTCTATAGCTGTTGCATTGTTTATGACTTAGGGTTTTTGAAATGCTCTTATAGTTGCTTTGCTTTTATCTTAAGCCTTAAATAGTGTCTTGCCATTTTGGCCATTTTTTGATTTGCTGTTTTTCCTTGATGCAGACAGACACGGTAAGACAGGAATTTAGTGAGGACATGTCCATCACCCGTGCTTTCTCAATTGTTTTTGAAAGGAAACCGGAATTAAGGTACCATAATTTAATATCATATTTAATTATTTTGTTTCGGTTGTTTATGTCTTGTTGGTCGAGAAATAGTTTGTGGAAAGTGCTATGTTTTACGTTGGACAGGTTGGAGGGAGTTGCGCATAAGGTACTGCAGTGGTATTTGTGCAGGATGGAAGGATGGTTTGCAGCTGATGCTGATACAATTTCACTTAAATGCTGGGATCAGGCAAGCTTCTCATCCATCAGATTACATTTCTATACTCATTGCCTTTTTGAGTTTTTAATTCGACTATAATTTCTTGTCTGTGTACAGTAATCCTGATCCTTGCATTAACAAGTTTATAACCTTGAATGCCGATTTAATTAGAAATTTTGTCTCTCTTCTGTAGGAAGAACTGCTCCCTGGTGGCCATGGTCTCATGGTCAGGGGTTACCTCCCTGTTATTAACACCCTAGCCAAAGGTCTTGACATACGCTTGAGCCACAGGTATGCATATATCTTTTTATTCTTGTTGTATTATATGTTTGGCTATCTGCTTGTAGCTAAATTAACAAGCATTGTACGTACATTCCTGTTCTCAGGGTCACAAAAATAACAAGGCGATATAATGGGGTGAAGGTAACAGTAGAGGATGGGAGAACATTTGTTGCAGATGCTGCTGTTGTTGCTGTTCCTCTTGGTGTGCTTAAAGCAAAGAGCATAACGTTTGAGCCGAAGCTACCTGATTGGAAGGAAGCAGCCATTGAAGACCTCGGAGTGGGAATAGAGAATAAAATTGTATTGCACTTCGAAAAGGTGTTTTGGCCAAACGTGGAGTTTTTAGGAGTGGTTGCTGACACGTCTTATTGCTGCAGCTACTTTCTAAATCTTCACAAGGCAACTGGTCACTCTGTGCTTGTTTATATGCCTGCAGGGCAGCTGGCTAAAGACATAGAGAAAATGTCTGATGAAGAGGCTGCTAATTTTGCTTTTACGCAACTCAAGAAGATCCTTCCTGATGCTTCTACTCCGGTAATTCTTTTTTTTCTTTCAAACTCTGTCAAGACATTTTGAAATGCAATTGAGTCTGTTTCATATTTGAACCCTAACTTAATTGATGCCTTTTCAACTTTGCAGATTCAGTATCTTGTTTCTCATTGGGGCAGTGATGTTAACACACTCGGGTCCTATAGCTACGACATAGTTGGAAAACCACATGATCTGTACGAGAAGCTAAGGGTCCCAGTAGATACCCTATTTTTTGCTGGGGAGGCAACAAGTGTTGACTTCCCAGGCTCAGTGCATGGTGCATTCGCAACTGGAGTAATGGCTGCTGAAGACTGCAGAATGCGCGTTCTTGAGCGTTATGGGGAGTTGGATTTATTCGAGCCAGTCATGGGTGAGGAGGCCATATCCATTCCGCTTCTGATCTCCCGCCTGTAACTTCCCGGCCACCATCCTCCGGAAGTATTTTAGATATGTTCACTTCATATGGGCTCACACACATTTGCCATTTCGATTGGCTGTCTGGGAAAGGTCGTGGAAAATTACCGTTTTCCCTGTGGATCAAGCACTGGTGTTTGTGTTCGTAGCTCTCATCTGAGTGGCATGTCTGTATTTGCACAATCATTGGGGATCCCTGAATTGTTGTTCAATCTATCCTAAACAAATATAGCTAATGGAATAATAAATAAATTGTGATACAATGTATACCCGAGTGTCAGAAATGCCTCAATTTAGAGTGCGAAACATCTTGAAATGAGCAGTGTTTCGTGTTTTGTATACAAGCGATAATGGAGATGGAGATGGAGATGATGATGGCAAACTTAGGACTAGTGGCGTAGAGGGTAGATGATTGCCGGCTGTGGTTGTGGCACCACCGAAATGAGTTATTAATCCACGTGCTACAATATAGTTAAATGACATAGTTGGTATTTCATAAACTTGGATTAGAATATAGTAGTTGACAATGTGTTTCATGAAGTGAATTTGTAACGCTACATGGTGGCGTGCAGTTACATAAAACCATTTCTGAGTAGAAGAGGGTTCAAGTGTTAGAGTGCTATTTACACTTAAAACAGACTGAGAGAATGAGAAGATAGACCTGATACAACTGAAGAAAACGAATGTGAATTTCGTTTAGATATATACTTTCCTCGGTTAAACCACATACATTTACACAGCTGAGCAGAAGTATTGCTAAAAACCTGCCCTCCAAAAAATAAAATTAAACAAAGAATAAAAGAAAATAAATCTCCTATATTTTCACTTCTCTGAAATCCACAAAAATTAAATGAGCTTCTACTTCCCTTGCTTTCGTTTCTTCTCGTAATACGCTAAAAAAAATAGTTTCCCTTCAACAGATGAATGAGTTGAAGTGAGCAGATTCCAAGTTCCCCAAGTTGCTCTTTCGGAGGGAGACATCAGAGAACAGAGCTGAAGCCTTCAACTGGATCCGATTCTTCAAGCATGGAAGCTGCCTGGAAGCAGTCTATGGCATCCCCTATTCGTCCATCATCTCTGTGAATCATTCCCAAGTAATACCAAGCCTTTCGATTGCTAGGATCAATCCTTAATGCATCCGAGAGTAAGCTCCTTGCCACAGGCAATGCCGTTGATCCCATCTTTGACAGAAGAGCGGCAATCAAAATCTTGCAAGGAACATAACAGGGTTCCACCAGAAGACCATCGATATAAGTGGCTAGAGCTTCTTGAATTTGCCCCTGTCCTTCAAAGATGACACCTACACATAATGTAACTTAACAGTCAACATAATGCACATCAAACATAATGCACATCAAATGATCACATTACGTTGCTAATTGCTATAGAGGTATATGGCTTCTATGCCACGTTAGGTCCCCTAGTGTTGGAAGTGTTCGAAAGTTTTGTTACGCTATTTAGTTCCTTCATGATTAAAACTCACCCTTGAAAGACATGTTAGAAATTTTCATGCATATCACTTTCTAAGAAGTAGAATCGAAATGCCTTGGAAATCTCGTTAAATGTAATAGATGAGTTTAGTTCTTGCCTTCTATGTGCAGCGTTTCTGCAGAGTGCTGCTTCAGCTCTCTGGCTTTACTCAAACATATTTCTGCATCCTTCCAATACGAAAGGCTAGAGTACAAGTCTGACAATCCATGCCAAACTTCAAATTCACTGACTTTATCATCCTCAGCCTATCAAAAAAGGCGAACAAAAACATAGAAGGAACTTGTTGAGAATAAAATCTTTAAAATGTAATTTTAGAAAAGACAAAGTATTGCATCAGAAATGAACTATGTGAATCAATCAAATTAAATTTCTGATTTGTAAAAATTAACTACATTAATCAATCAGATCAAATTTCTAAACTTCTCCCCGCAATATTGCAGAATCACAGTATGATACCACTTAACTTTCCCACCACTACAAATAATAGCTTAGGGAGGACTCCTATATTTAGTAGCAATCTGATAGACACTATTTTGAGACAAAGTTAAGAACATAAGCAGAAGTCAAGAGGTTTCACCTGAGGACTCATTCTGAGAGGTCCAAAAGATTTCCTTTGGGCTTGAACCAAAGCAAGAAGGTTACGATAAGTTTCAATTGCATCCATGGGTAATGATTGGGAAATTCTTAGCTTTGCTTTAAGCCTGAGAAGTGGCCCTTGTTCCCATTTTGTGGTCTCATCCAAAGCAGCATCAGTGACCACATGAGCTTCTGAAAATCGCTGTTGAGCAGACAAAACAAGAGCAAGCAACCTCCAACCTTTTATCAGGGAGCCCCCTGTTTGATCAATGAACTGTTTTGCATAGCGCAAAGCAGTATTCAGATTCCGGTGCTCTGCGTAGTGAACTCCCAACTCGAAGGCCAAATCTGAATTGTTTGGCTCCAAAGTAATCGCCTCATGTAGTGATTTCAGTGCTTCAGACTGAAGACGAGACCTCTCAAAGTCAGAAGAAGAAACTTTAGCTTGCTTCCCCAAAGAAAGACCCAACAAGCGAAGTCCCACACCCCTTAAATGTTCATCCAACCCCTGAGCATTGCTAATAGCCCTTTGTGCATATCCCACTCCCTCAGCTGCAACATGGGAATCCTCACTGCAGATTTTGGCGGCTAATAACAATGCCATGAGTTCATCTGGTCGTTCATGTTTGTGCAAAGACTTCCTTAATAGGTTCAACGCCTCTTCGTTCTGTCCTGCTCCACTATAACAAAGGGCTAAAGAATTCCAACGATCAACACGGTGATATACTCCAGGCATGATTTCTTCAAGTCGCTTTGCTAAAACAAAAGTTTGGTTGCATAAAGATAAAGCAAATGTTAGATGTTCCATCAATGATGGATCCCATTTGTTTTTATCTGGGGATAATTTTCTCAAAAGGATCATCAAAAGCAGAATAGCCTCCTCCAGGTTATTTTTAGGGACATATGAGCCTTCAACCTGAGCACCTAAACTGGGTGGACCAGCCTCTACTCCACTGTACAGCAAAAACACAGCAAATCCTTTCTGAATTCTTGCACAGCGGTCATTGTCAAGGTTCCATTGACTAAGTAGGGCACGTCTATAAGCAGATATTGCTTCTTGAGGGTGGCCAGATTGCTTCCAAAGCTCAGGAAGAAGCTCCACAGCTTGGCTGACTGTCTCTTGTAATCTACCATCTACTTGTGCATCAGGTATGCCCTGATGGAATATTTTTTCCACAGCATCAAGCACATTGTTGCATTCATTAGCAGCTTCTGCAAACTCATAAACACGGAGGTTCCAATTTACTTTAATTCAAACTTAAAAAGTCAAAGAGAATGAAAACCATCGCATAAAGTTACTGGAACAGTACCAAACCTTTTAATCTCCCAAGCTTTTGTAGAGACTTGGCTTTTAAGTATATGGCATCAAGAATGAGAGTAGCAGCATGCTGTGAGACTGTATGCTGTGAATCAGAACGAGTTCGGCCCTTCTTAGAAGCTGTTTTCTCAGCAAGATTAGGTTGCAATCGCCCTATGGCATCTTGAAGATCAATGCCATCAAACACACGAAGTGCACCTTCTAGGTTACCTCTTTGATACTCCAGCTTTCCAAGAAGGGCTCTTGCTTCCTGTAGATTATCAGAAATGAGTGTTTTTCCATCTTGGGTAGGTCATATCAATCATGAAAGCACTACTCTGATTGGTGCTAATAGTTGCACAGAAAGAGGTTAAATTATGGAAAAGATTTTGACACCTATAGATGATGGCATAAACTAACCTCGAAATTGAGTGATAGCCCTTCTCGTAACGAAGATTCTGCCTCCTGAATGTTTCCTTCATCAAGCTTGGCCTGAACCTCTGTTGCTTTCATGGAATTCCCATTTGCAGAGAATTCAACCACCATGCCTTCCTCGTACTCGCCAGACTCCATTGATCGGCTCCTGACTATCTGCTGCCTCACCCTGTTTCACAAATATCACTTTTGTCCTGGTCTCTGATCCATTCAACACTTAGCTGACAAACATATAACGCTGCAGTTCTTACAAGTCAAACGGTAAAGTTAGTTAAAGTATAAAACATAACAATTTGTGTAACAAATCCAGCTACCCTGACACATTCGGTGCATGTGCACTACTTACATGCATACATCTACATGGACTTGTATAACAAAAAAGTCACGAGCTGTAAACTTTCACTTAATTGAAACAAAACATTACAATGCATAACCTTCACACCATTAGACCAAGCTAGCATTCCTTCCCAAAAAACAATAACATGAAAAATAACAGGAAATGTGGCGGAAATTGTTCTAGTTAAACAGAGAAGCATACCAAAACTTTGCGGGGAGGGTATTGGAAGCCGAAAAAAAAATTTGAAACTCAGGTTTTCCCTATCTAACCTATAACACATTTCATCTCAGCTAAGCCCAAATGCATTTAAGTCGAAGCTATTCCATTTCCCAAATTTTCTCAGGAGCCAAACAGATGGTAAGTACTACATTACTGATATCTAGATAAACTAGAGTTTTATGTAAAGAACAATGCCAAGGGACAATTACCAATCTACAGATCCAATGCAATCCAATTAAGCTGGAAAAGGAGAATTTTAAGTCAAACTATTATTCGGTTGCTAAGAAACACAATAATTTGAAATGAAAAGTTATCAAAAATAAAAATTTACAAGCCTTCATAATCCAGGACCCAAAAAGCAACATTTTCAATCAGTATCCATTGAGTTGAAATTCCAAAAGAACCCCATTCGCAAAACACAACCTTTCACAATTTCATTACACTGCCATTCCATTTTCTTTCTTTTTTCTCTCTCAATTTTCTCACCAACCAAACACCTTTAAAAATCCCCAGTTCGTACTAATTGCTCACCTTGCCTGTCGTACCAGATTCAGATCACGGTTCGCTGAGAACGACGGAGCTGGATATTGAATTCCCGCGACGGAACGCGACCGTTGAGGGGAGAATCAGCGGAAGCGGGGTGTTTGGCAAGTGAGAAAATTCAGGGCGTTTATGAGGTTGAGAAAGCGATGTGTGTGCGTGTGTGATCTGAGAGAGAATTTAATGGGGTTATTTGGAGCTGCTGCGAGACATAAAAAAAAGGTTCTTCTCCACCTTCTTCAGTCCTCATTATTTTATTTCGTTCTTGGGGGTAAATCTTTAGTTTAAAATTGGTGTCAAAGGTGAACGGTTCAGTTTCCAAAAAATAAAAAAAAGGTGAACGGTTCCCTAGAATTTTCCCCTTTATTTAACTCTTAATTAATATATATATATATATATATATATTTTTTAAAAATAATTCAGGTAATATTCTGATCTAAATATAAATTTAAATATTAAGTACTAATAACTTAATTTCATATTAGTCTTAATTTTAAGAAATATTCCAAATACATATCTAATTTTTTTTTTTAAATTACACCTATATTAATGTTATGTTGCCAACGTGAAGTGATGACATCCAAGGACGAAGCTAGAATGTTCATCGAGGCGTGACTAAGAAGTGGTGAATGCAGGTCTTTGTGCAATCCAAGAGTGCCCATTTTCTTTTTAATTTTTTAAGTGAGGCATTTGGTCGAGCACTTGGTTAACTCATATGTTTTGTGTGCTTAACATCCCTACTTTTTGTGTCATTTTAATAGCATCTTTAGGTCAATATTGTTATAGTGAACAAATATAAACCCTATATATATATATATATATATATATATATAGGGTTAGGAGCTCAAATTAAAATGATGTATGGCAGGAGAGAGGGTTAATTTGCGCTTTAAAATGGCTAACTTAGAACTTTTCTTATCAAAACTACGTGCCCTAAAACATATAGACTTTTTCTTTTCTTCTTCTTGTTCCTCTTCATGAGTTACAAGAACCAACTTTGCAACTAAATCGTTTTTTTTTTTCTTTCTGTTATATCCGCCTCCTGGTGGTTGTTAATGAGGAATGAGCAATAGATTTGGTGATGATTGTGAGTTGATTATTATTCGTCATAGTCTAGTTCAACGTCGTATTGAGCGATTAAAAACAACTACGACTTAAGTGGGACTTTAATTCCTACTTAGGCCACATTATATCCCAATCCAAAAACTTATTGGTGGCACATTCCCCCACTAACCCTTAACTAGTTTTCGGCCTTGATGATATCACTCGCATCAAGTGATGGCGTAGACAAATAAATTAAAGGGCATGTTAAAATTTTACTATCGTGGCATCTATGGAACTCTAAATCCTCAAAGCTATCCTTTTAGCCAAGGAAATTTAAAGATAACTTTGCGAAAAATGATCTATTTGAGGAATCAAAACTTCATAGACGACGTGTCAATAAAAATCTGAACATGCCCGTCAATATATTTGTTCACGTCATTAATTACACTCTAAAGACCTAACATATGTCTAATTTTCAAAACGTTAAGTAGTTATTTAGAATGTTCTTTAAACGGCCAAATATCTCTCAAATTATGAAGTCTAAATTTGTTTCTTATTCCCACGTGTCCACCTAGTCCACTCTGGCTCCTTTTTGAGCGAGTAACTTAAGTTTTTTGTCAAAGAAAAATGAGTCTTCTGCTCCCACACCTTCGGAAAATCCCCTTCAACTCCATTGACACTCAGCTTTCGTTCAAACGCTTCTGAGAGGCACCCAGATAAGAAAGGCCGCAAACCCTTTTCTTGAAGCCCTTCATTTCATCAGCTCCTCTGGATAATTGGAGGTTTGTTTCTCTTCCTTCACCCCCGTTTGTTAAACCCCTGCAAAACCCTCAGAACCCCATCTTACATTTGAGCATTTGTGTTTTGTTTCAGGTTCTAAAGTTTGAATCTTTAGTGTCCTGTTGGGTTGATTGTGTAATTTGGGGGATAACATGGAGAATTTGGGTCTCTGGGTTGTAGTTTTTAGTTTTTACATTGAAAGTTGCATGCTTTAGGCTTTAGCTAAGAAATTATCTGGGCAGCCAAACAGGGAACCGTGGTTCATTAAATTTTCAATTTTGATTCAAAATACTGAAAGATATGGATATGAAGTATGTTTTTTTTTTCTTCTTGTTATAGCTTTCCTATCTTGCATATTTGCATTTGTCTTAGTGCTGCTGCATTTCTTGGGGTTGAAGGTGAGAATGGTGGTTCTGTATGTCTTTGGAATCAAAGTAGGGAGTCATATAATTCATTGAGTGAAATTGGGTTGCCATTACACTCGAAGTCGAAGTACAAGCATGTACTATAGATATAGGAGTTTTACATTATTTTATATCTTCCTAATTGCAGTGTTAAGTAATTTACTTCTTTGCGCTCCGGCCTTTGGCTTGTTTGCGCAAGTGGATGCATATCGACTTTGTACATTCAGATTGCCGGCAACCCGGGACACTCATGTTTTTCTTAGAAATTACTAGTCCGAGAGATATTTGATGATTTATGTGTTCATTGTGATATTCAGTAATAACTGTGTGACTTTTCGTCTTCAGTAAATTGAAAGAATGCACAAATTATATAGGTTCCCGTGTCGTTTGTATGGGCATGCTGGCACCAAGAAGGTTCTTGCAGAAAAGGAAGAAAGTAGAAGCTTTCAAAGATGCTGCTGATGAAGCCGAGCAGAAGAACTGGAGGAGACTTATGAATGAAATTGAAAAGACAGGTTCTGCAGTTTCTGTGCTCAAAAGTGAAAAGCTCAAGGACAAGACTATTCCCAAGGATGTTGTCCTTGGAACTTTGGTTAGATTTAAGCAACTGAAAAATGGAACCTTGTGAGCCAGGTGTGTAAAGATGCTCTTTTTGTTGTGCAATTATTCGGTTTCTGAGCGCATTTCTTTAAATGCTGGATTTTATTTGATGATTAAATCACTTGTTGCTTATGTTCCTTTGACTTCTAGATTCTCGAATGGCTCCAGACACAAAACTGGTGGGACTTCAGCAAAATGGATTTCCTGATGCTTATGACAGCTTATGGAAAGTAAGGGCACTACACAAGGGCTGAGAAGCTTTTAAGGTTGATGAATGAGAAAGGCCGCCATCCACCAAGGGTAATATCTCATACTGCTCTTATGGAAGCATATGGAAAAGGACGGCGATATAACAATGCTGAAGCAATATTTAGAAGGATGCTGTCTTCTGGGCCTGAACCGTCTGCTGTGACATATCAAATAATACTAAAGATATTTGTTGAGGTAAATACCTTGTTTAGCCAAACTTGTCACTGTCCTAACAACTTCGATTAAATCCTAATTTTTAGTTTAGTGCTGACAACATTTTGATGATGCCGGCATCTTCAATATTTTCAATGTTGCTGCCCTTTGAGCATTATGCATGCTTTCATTGGAGTCTTTCTACCTTCCTCATATATTACCTTGAATTACAGGGATCTAAGTTCAAGGAAGCTGAAGAATTATTTGAGACTCTTTTAAATGAGGAAAAATCACCTTTAAAGCCAGACCAAAAGATGTTCCACATGATGATTTATACGTATAAGAAGGCGGGGAGCTATGATAAAGCTTGTAAGATGTTTGCAGTGATGTCTAAGAGAGGTGTTCCACAATCGACGATCACTTATAATAGCTTGATATCATTTGAAAATAATACAAGGAAGTCTCCAAGATGTATAACCAGGTAAATTTTGGTAAAGTACATGAATAATTACTTAATTAGCCATGTAGCTCAGTAAAGCATGCTAAACCTTCCTATTTGAGTATGCTTTACAATTATAAAATAGGATTGCAGCAATATTTTGCTGGTCTGTTTTGAAGAAAGAAAATAGTTTCCTTGGTCTGTTTTTTTACTACTTTTTAAGCATCATTGGTTGATATATGATCCAAATAGAAGAATGTGCTGTCTTGCAGCAATAATTTCCTGGTCTATTTTGAAAAAAAAAAAAAAAAAAAAAAAAAAACTTACCTAAATGAGAATATGCGATTTGTTATCACCGAGGTTTAACAATGATTTTACATGGTTGCCAATCACACATGAAAATTACTAAAATTGGCAAAAATTATTGATCAAGGAGACGTAAAACCATGTCAATCACACATGAAAATTACTAAAATTGGCAAAAATTATTGATCAAGGAGACGTAAAAATCCTGTATTTTTCTCTTTCTCATGCTTATCATTTTACATTGTTTTTCTTTTTTTTCTTTTTCCAAATATTACTGTGCTTTGCTGAATTTGGTACAAACTATCAACCTAAAGTTCCATGACCTTAATACCTAATCATGATACTCAATTAATAGCTTTATTGTTAGTAATAAAAATTATAAAATTCATCAAAAATTAAAGGAAACTTCTAATGGCAGATGCAAAGAGCTGATCTCCGACCTGACATAGTGAGTTATGCCTCACTCATTAGTGCTTATGGGAAAGCAAGAAAAGAGGAAGAAGCCTTGGCCGTTTTTGAGGAAATGCTTGATGCTGGTGTCAGGTACTTAGGCTCAATGCTACTTTTTCTGTGATACAGGGAGCTGAAGTATATGAAAGTTATAAATGAATTTTCAACTCTTGATGTCAATTCCTCACCATTGATGAAAACTATAATCGCCACCATTCTCTCTCTTTTGCAGACCTACCCGCAAAGCTTATAACATTTTGCTTGACACATTTGCAGTATCAGGAATGGTGGAACAAGCTCGAACTGTCTTCAAAAGCATGAGAAGGGACATGTATACTTCTCAGTACCTTCATGTTGATATACTATAGTCGGAGTTTCGGAGATGAGTTACACTTGCTAAACCTTAAATTCGAAATGCTCTGTTTTGGTTCCAATAGGATTGTTGTGCTAACTAGTGGCAGTAAATGAATACTGAGCACCATGTGCACTTTATGGGATCGGCCTAATAAACAAAACTGGATAAGAAAAAGTTTCAACTCTGTAAAATATTTACGTCGTCTCTCTTTCTTGTCTAGCTCTATCACGAGCAGAATGAGTTTAAAAATAACTGATTACATTGACGTATTAGGTTGGACCTGTTAGTTGTTGGGTTCACTTATCCTAAGATTCTAGGACCCAGAAGTCTTGGATGATTCAGTATTTCATACTTGATAAGATATTTAAATAAGTATCATTTTCAAGCAGGACTTTTCTTGTATAATTTATTTGACATGTGTTGCCTTTTTTTGTCCATCCTATTTACATAAATATTGTTTTGTAGTGAATTTTGTCTGTTTACGTGTCTGAGCATGTATATGAACGTACTTGAGTTTCCAAAAACTGATCATTATTAAATCAGATTGTAAATCCTACAAACCAGCCAATGTTGGATTGGATTTGATCGGCATCCATCGGGTCGTTCCTCTCGCTACTCTCCCTTCACCAATTACCTTGACATTTGTTTGTCGAACGAAATACCTAGGTCTTGTATGCAATTTATGGTTCTACTGTCTGATAGAACATGAATTATTAGGTGGCATAATGTCAAGTATCGTATGTCAAAAACAGTGGTCCATTTATAGATAATTAAAGATATGCCTTTGTTGGAGGGTAGAAATAGCCCTATCCCTAAAAATTTACTCTCTGATCTGGATAGTGAACCCTCTGTTTTTCTTTGTTTTTTCTTCAGGTTTAACCTTGATCTTTGCTCTTATACGAGGATGCTATCAGCATACGTGAATGCATCTGACATGGAGGGTGCTGAGAAATTAATACAAGATGCATTTAAACCCAATATCATCACTTATGGGACGTTAATCAAGGGAAATTAATGCAAACATCTAGGCTAATTCTCGTCAACCATGCGATATCAAAACAAAGGATTTCCTATATGAAGCGCAGGTGAAATGAAGTTCGGAAACCTTCATGGCCGCCTCATATATCGGTCACCAAGTCTAATCTTTGTGCACTTGCAGATCTCTTCAATCGTTCAGCTGCTTTTTCAACCTACAAAAGCATGGCCATTGGTGAGAACTTAGTCAAATGCACTTCATATTTGCAATTTAAGATTAGATTTCGAAATTAAATTACCTCAGCAGGCCAGTTTGTTCTTGCAGTGAGAACAATTAGAGTTGCTGTTTGTAGAAAAACTCCAATGATCAAACCCCACCAAATACCCTGAAAAGTACCAAAAATTCATCATTTGCCATCACTCACAAAGCAAATCAATCACTTTTGCTAGCAAGAGTGAGGAGATATTCAACTTACTGCTACTCCCATGCTAGTTTTGAAGCCGAGAACACATCCGATTGGAAGACCGATAATATAGTAACATGCCAGGTTAACATACGCCACAACAGCTTGCCATCCACTTCCGATCGCCACCCCTGAAATTCCACACAAGCTGAATTATAAACGACGGCTAAATCCTTAGTTTCTAGGTTGTTCATCCACTGCATCTATATATCATGTATGAATACCTGAGAGTATAGGTTGAATGCCATTCAAGAAAACAGAGATGGCCAGCAATGGGGTTAAATTCGATACCGCCGTGGTAACCTCCTCGTCGCTCGTAAAAAGCTTGCTTAGTGCGACTCGGAATATCAATATAATCACAGTGAAGATTATGCTAATCAGTACGCTCGTCCCGTTCACTACAAACACCGAAAACTTGGCCACCTTCCCATGGCCGGCACCGAGCTCATTACTGACTCGAACACTGGCTGCCGCGGCTAGCCCTAACATAAATTGCAAGTCCCAGGTCAAGTAGCTCATGCTGGAATTGCATCACATCAAAAAATGTAAAATTAGATTAAAATGTCTGTTAAAAAACCTGATCAAAATTGACCAATAAAAGATGAAATGCATTAAAAAAAAAAAAATTATGGCGCTTCGGAGCATAAAATATAATTATGAAATACATTGCCTTAGCAAAAGGCTTACCAAATAGTAATGGAGTCCAGTGCGATTGTAGGATTGGCAAGAAGCCCTGATATCAGCACCAGCCCTTGGCTGTACCAAATCTCCAAACTACATCAATGCATGGCGACAAAACCCAACGGTTATTTGTAAGTAAAAATGAGTTTTATAAGTGAGACATAACGTAAAAAAAGGGGAAAATAGTAATACGTACAAATAAAATTGGTAACAAATTTTTAATCAAAATAAGAACTTGGGGACGCTAAAAAGACAATAAGTCGTTGTTCTCGGTTGTGCTGTGACCAAAACTTTGCAACCGGTTGTATCTGCGTGGATTTCCTAAAAATCTCACACTTACCAGAGCATGACAGCGGAGGCAAGAGTCAACTTAAAGTAAGGCCAAATGCCCCTAAAGGCCTTCCAAGAGAAGCCAGTCCAAGTCTCCTTACACTTGGGGCTGACAAGAATGTAAATCCCATATACGATGACAAGAAGCCACCATGAGAAACTCAGAGTGAGAGCCGCCCCCGTCAGCCCATAATCCGCCACATAAACCACCACCCAACTGAGCAGAATGTGGACGAGGAAAACCCCGACCGACATATAGGCCAGAGGGTTGACAATGTTTTGTGCTTGGAGAAACCTCTGCTGAGGGCAGTTTATGGCAAATGCATAGAGCTGTGGGACTATTCCTCTGGCAAATACTTGTCCCTGCGCTGCTATTTCCTCTGTTTGGCCAATGGCTAAGAGGATTGGACCTGACCACCAGTACAAAAATGTTAGGAGCACTGCTGCTCCCAAGTGCAGGATGATTGCTCTTTGGCATATGATTCCCATTGCTGGATACTGTTTGGCTCCATATGCTTGCCCGCACACCGTTTGCACAGCACTTGCCATTCCCAACTTTGATTCCAAACCAAGAATTAAGAACACAAAAGTGTTAGTCCAACCATACAAGAAAAATACGGAGAGAAAATTGGGCTACATGGCTTTTTTAGCGTAACAGGTTTGGCGCACTCGGTTTAGATTCAGATACTCCAAAATTGAATATTTTGTGTTTTTCTGACGTGTACAATGTGAACGCTAGATGCTAAACTGAAAAGCTGTGAAAAAAAAAAACAAAAAACATTGAATGAAAACTGCTATTTGCACTTAAAAAAAAAAGACATTGAATGAGTCTGGACGGCTGCAGAATGATCAGAGTACTTCAGTAGTTTGGGTACGTACCATAATACCATAAGCAAGACCCTGAATTCCAACACTGGCAATAGAGGCACCGGCAAGCTCCAAGGCACTCAAATGCCCACAAAACATGAGAGTGGTAAAGCTGAGCATGTAGTTGAATATGGAGACGATGATAGATGAGCCGGATAAAATCCATAGGAGCCTTGACTCCCATGCCACCAGCCTAAGCCACCACCGAACTGCAACGGGCTTGTGCTCAAGGAACTCTTCAACGGCAGTGGACGAGAGGTCAGGAATCCGGGAATGTGAGTCGAGTCTATTAAGTAGCGGTTGGTACTCTTCTGCCGTCTCCATGGTTATCTCAGCGGCTGAGCCACCACTATTTGATGCTTGTAAAACTGTGCGAGACACTGTGCGTGGTTTACGCGGAAGGAGTGTGCACCATGTATTTATACGCTGTTACTTTGTGTGGATAAATAAGAAGGGAAAAAGGGGAGAAACAAGGTTATATTCAACTACCATTAAAAAATATTAGGTGTACAACAGAAGTTTAGTTGCAACTGCCTAAGTCAATATATATATGTATATAATATTAGGTGTACAGGAGAAGTTTAGCTGCAACTACCCAAGTCTATATATATGTACACTTTTTTTTTCTTGGGATTGACATAAAGTCAAATATCGACATTCAAAGGCAGTGTTCAATTATTTATATATTAGCATATGGGGACACTTTATGTGTGAATAATTTCATTTTATTTTTTATTTTTGATTAAAGAGTGTGATTAGTTTTTAAATTTTTTTAAAAAAATATGAGACAATGATGATGAGATCTCTTAGTAAGGGCATATTTTTCTTAATATTACATAATTATCATTTTGCCCTCTTCATGTAAATATTGTGTATCAAAAGTAGACCTGGCATTCGTGTCGTGTTTCTCGTGTTCGTGTCGTTTTCGTGTCATACCCGATAGTTTAACGGGTCGTGTCGTGTAATACCCGTTACAGTAAACGGGTAATATGACCCGACCCGAAATCAACCCGTTAATATTTTCAGGTAATATGACCCGAAATGTTACCCGTTAAGAAAAATATATTTTAAATCAATAAAAATGAAAATGAAAAATATAATTTGACCCAAAAAACTGTAAAACATAAAACTAAATTAGTATATACATACTAAATTTCGGAGTTAACCCCTTAATGAAAGTTGTAAAGTTTTTCATTACGAGCGATTACATTTTTCACACTTCTACAATAATTATTATTAATTGTATTACTTTTTCACTCAAATAAATAACATTGTACATGAGATTTGGAGCGTTTTAAAAATCTAAATGACCATGCAACCTTCCCAAAGGAACTCAAAGCTTACATGTTAATCATGTTACAAAATCCTCAATTTTCATGAATCATCATGACATAAGATTTTGTCGTATCCACTTCTGTAAATATTTTAAATTGATGATCAAATTAGTTCATTGTATTCATATAGGATCAAGGAGTGTAGCTGTAAAAAATCATCAAAATCAGAGTTAAAATAACCGTTAAATCGTGATTTTTCGTTTATAACCGTCGAAAAGTTTTGTCTTGTTACTTGATCTCTGAATGTTTGTTTTTTGCAATTTTTGGCGTATGCGATCTCGAATCATATATAAACAAGTTTGAGAGTTGGATCATTGAAATTAGTTTTATAGGATGCGTATCCCATCAAAACGATACATTAACTAACACTTAGAGTTTATATATACTTTCATTAAGTATAACATAAGATTTTTTGGTATCTACTAATGTAAATATTTTAAATTGAATATCGAATTCATTCATGTATTCATATAAGGTCAAGGAGTGTAGCTCTAAAAAATCATCAAAATCAGAGTTAAATAACCGTTAAATCGTGATTTTTCGTTTATAACCATCAAAAAGTATTGTCTCTTTACTTAAACTCTAAACGTTTGTTTTTTGCAATTTTTGGTGTATGCGATCTCGAAGCATATATAAACAAGTTTGACGGTTGGATCGTTGAAATTAGCTTCGTAGGATGCGTATCCCATCAAAACAATAGATTCACTAACACTTAAGAGTTTATTTATACTTTTATCAAGTATAACATAAGATTTTGTGGTATCCACTAGTGTAAATATTTTAAATTGAAGATCGAATTCATTCATTGTATTCGTATAGGGTCAAGGAGTACAGCTGTAAAAAATCATCAAAATCGGAGTAAAAATAACCGTTAAATCGTAATTTTTTGTTTATAACTGTCGAAAAGTTTTGTATAATTACTTGATCTTTGAATGTTTGTTTTTTGCAATTTTTGGCTTATGCGATCTCGAAGCATATATAAACAAGTTTGACGGTTGGATCGTTGAAATTAGTTTCATAGGATGCGTATCCCATCAAAACGAGAGATTCACTAACACTTAAGAGTTTATTTATACTTTCATCAAGTATAACATAAGATTTTGTGATATCCACTAGTGTAATATATTTTAAATTGAAGATCGAATTCATTCATTGTATTCATATAGGATCAAGGAGTGTAGCTGTAAAAAATCATCACAATCAGAGTTAAAATAACCGTTAAATCGAAATTTTTTGTTTATAACCGTCGAAAAGTTTTGTCTTGTTACTTGATCTCTGAATGTTTATTTTTTTTGCAATATTTGGGGTATGCGATCTCGAAGCATATGTAAATAAGTTTGACGGTTAGATTGTTGAAATTAGTT